GAACTTAAATGAAATCTCCTAGATATTTCCTAAAAACTCAATCTCCTATAACATTAAAATAACTAAATGAGATCAATTTAGACAACTCAAGAAACTAATTATAGTAATCTCCTAAAAATTGAAAACAAATAGTAATAACATATTTAGAATGGACAATAACTACTTCAAATATAAAGAAAAAGACAACTAGCAAAGAAAATGTAGATGGAAATTAGAGTAAATTACATCATGCATTTATGATTTTTGTACAATATTTCATTTCATTCATGGTTTTAATTAAAATTCATAATTTTCATTCACGAGTTTTTAAATTCAAATTCATCAATTTGAACAATCAATCATTAAATTTTGACTAAATTTATCATCTCAAAATATTTTTTGTGTGTGTGTATAACTATGTGAACTTGCCAGTGATAAAAAGGTGGGAGTTTTTTAAACTTTTAAATTTGAAATTCATGTCATATACACATCCATGTGACATTGAAAATGATATATTCTATTAATTTTTTTAACCATGATTGGTGTAATAGATGAATTTAAAAGATTTTGAGAAGTTTTAAATCAAAAAATTGGGTTTTATAAGATCATGGATGAAAGTAAAATAATATTAAACAAAGTTTTTGGATGCCGGATGTATTTTAATAGTAACAGCTATCATAAAAGTCCATAGTTGATATTTTAATGATCATTACTTAAGTAAAGAGAAATAGATTCACATTAGTTTTATGCAAAGCGACACAAAATCTATCTTTTAAATATTGTAGCACTTGGAAACTTTTCGGTCACCAATTTATTAAGAAAAAATATTCAGTCAACGACCTTAACACTATGTAGTTAAATTATTTTACTTGCTTAGTGTTTGTTTCCAAAGATAAATTATAGAAAAAAATGATTAGAAGAAAATTTATAAAAAAGTTTTATCTAAGAAAAAAAAGAATTTTTTTCTCTCAATTCAAATGGATTAAGTTTCCTTCTTTTTTTTTTTCGCTCTCTTTCTGTTCTTCCACTCTTTCTATTCCTCCTACCAACATAGTTGAAAGAGTAAAACCACAAATAGATAGGGTTACCTGTATTTTAGCCAAAATGATAAATTGTGGACACTCTTTCATTTTCAACTCTTGTAAAGATGGCAGCGTCAGTACAATATCATTTCCATCCCTTCCTTTAAATTCAGGCAATCTTTTCAATGTAACCTTATTAAGCTGCGGAAGACCTTCAGCCATTGAGATTGGAAAAGTATATTCCAATCGAGAGCAATCCCTAATCTCAAGTGTAGTCAAACTCTCCAAACTTTGACCATGCGACAATGAGGAAAGAGATGTCAAGTTATTGCAGCCACTTACAAATACTTCCCTTAGACTTTGGAGATTGATGTTTGACACTTCTGTTTTGGGAATTATTTCTTCCAACTCCGAGCAGTCGTATATGTTCAGTGTTTCCAGTTGTCCAAGAATTTCAGCAACAGACGTTGGGAAGAGATATCTCAATTTATTGCAGTTCTGTATTGTTACAACCTTCAAACTTTGTAAGCTTACATGATGACGGGGTCCTTGTTGTATGCTCCTCAATTCAGCAATCTGAAATAGCACTTGCATCTCATCATAAATTCAATAGTGCTAAATGGTGATATTAAGGGTTTTTTAGTTCTTGGTATTAATTATTTAAGGCTTTTTTTATGAGAAGAAATGACTATTTAGCATTGTATGTAATAATTAATTGAACTTAAATGAAATCTCCTAGATATTTCCTAAAAACTCGATCTCCTATAACATTAAAATAACTAAATGAGATCAATTTAGACAACTCAAGAAACTAATTATAGTAATCTCCTAAAAATTGAAAACAAATAGTAATAACATATTTAGAATGGACAATAACTACTTCAAATATAAAGAAAAAGACAACTAGCAAAGAAAATGTAGATGGAAATTAGAGTAAATTACATCATGCATTTATGATTTTTGTACAATATTTCATTTCATTCATGGTTTTAATTAAAATTCATAATTTTCATTCACGAGTTTTTAAATTCAAATTCATCAATTTGAACAATCAATCATTAAATTTTGACTAAATTTATCATCTCAAAATATTTTGTGTGTGTGTGTATAATTATGTGAACTTGCCAATGATAAAAAGGTGGGAGTTTTTTAAACTTTTAAACTTGAAATTCATGTCATATGCACATCCATGTGACATTGAAAATGATATGTTCTATTAAAATTTTTAACCATGATTGGTGTAATAGATGAATTTAAAAGATTTTGAGAAGTTTTAAATGAAAAAATTGGGTTTTATAAGATCATGGATGAAAGTAAAATAATCTTAAACAAAGTTTATGGATGCCGGATGTATTTTAATAGTAACAGCTATCATAAAAGTCCATAGTTGATATTTTAATGATCATTACTTAAGTAAAGAGAAATAGATTCACATTAGTTTTATGCAAAGCGACACAAAATCTATCTTTTAAATATTGTAGCACTTGGAAACTTTTCGGTCACCAATTTATTAAGAAAAAATATTCAGTCAACGACCTTAACACTATGTAGTTAAATTATTTTACTTGCTTAGTGTTTGTTTCCAAAGATAAATTATAGAAAAAAATGATTAGAAGAAAATTTATAAAAAAGTTTTATCTAAGAAAAAAAAGAATTTTTTTCTCTCAATTCAAATGGATTAAGTTTCCTTCTTTTTTTTTTTCGCTCTCTTTCTGTTCTTCCACTCTTTCTATTCCTCCTACCAACATAGTTGAAAGAGTAAAACCACAAATAGATAGGGTTACCTGTATTTTAGCCAAAATGATAAATTGTGGACACTCTTTCATTTTCAACTCTTGTAAAGATGGCAGCGTCAGTACAATATCATTTCCATCCCTTCCTTTAAATTCAGGCAATCTTTTCAATGTAACCTTATTAAGCTGCGGAAGACCTTCAGCCATTGAGATTGGAAAAGTATATTCCAATCGAGAGCAATCCCTAATCTCAAGTGTAGTCAAACTCTCCAAACTTTGACCATGCGACAATGAGGAAAGAGATGTCAAGTTATTGCAGCCACTTACAAATACTTCCCTTAGACTTTGGAGATTGATGTTTGACACTTCTGTTTTGGGAATTATTTCTTCCAACTCCGAGCAGTCGTATATGTTCAGTGTTTCCAGTTGTCCAAGAATTTCAGCAACAGACGTTGGGAAGAGATATCTCAATTTATTGCAGTTCTGTATTGTTACAACCTTCAAACTTTGTAAGCTTACATGATGACGGGGTCCTTGTTGTATGCTCCTCAATTCAGCAATCTGAAATAGCACTTGCATCTCATCATAAATTCCATAAACAGTTATTAAAATTTGACAAAGTATATCATCTCCTAATCATGTGTATGTATGTCCATGTGAACGTTCATGTGATAAGAAGGTGTTCTTTGACTTTTTAGGTTAAAATTCATGTTACATGCACATCCATTAAACTTTTAACAATGATTAGAATAATAGATGAATTTAAAATATTTTAAAAGGTTGTGTTCTATTAAATTTTTAACAATGATTGAAATAATAGATGAACTTAAAACATTTTAAAAAGTCGTTCACAAAAAAATTGACTTTTATAGTATTGTAGATGAAAGTAAAATAATATTGCACAAAGCTTATAGGGCAAAGTAAAATAAAAAAAGCTATCTTAAAATTCCACAACTAATCTTTAAATAATCACTGTTTAAGTAATGAAGAAGTAAGTCAAAGCAATACAAAGTCTATCTTTTAAATACTGTAGTTCTTAGACTTGAACCTTTCGAACACCAATTTATCAAGAAAAAAAAATTCTGTCGACAACATTAACACTATGTTTAATGTTTGGAAGAAAAATAAAGGGAGGGAAAAAGGGTGAGGAAAGCAAAAATAAATGATAGAAAAGAAAATTAATTTTCTTTTTTATTGTTTGGTACCAAAGATAAACAAAAAAAAAAGAAAAAAAAAGGATTAGAAGAAAAATTATTAAAAAAATGATTTTATTAAGCATAAATGAATGGTTTTCTCCCAATTTAAAAGGATTAAATTTTGATCGATTTTTTTTTTCTTTCCACTCTTTATTCTTCCACTCTTTTCCACTCCGTCCAACCAAGCATAGTTGCAAAAGTAAAAGAAAAAAATACAAATAAATAGGCTTACCTGTATTTTAGCCGAAATGATACAAGGAGTCAATTGTGGACAATCTTCCATACACAACTCTTGTAAAGATGGCAGCGTGAGTACAATGTCATTTCCATCCCTTCCTTTCAATTCAGGCAATCTTTCCAATGTAACCTCATTCAGCTGCGGAAGACCTTCAGCCATTGAGATTGGAAAAGTATATTCCAATCGAGAGCAATCCCTAATCTCAAGTGTAGTCAAACTCTCCAAACTTTGACCATGCGACAATGAGGAAAGAGATGTCAAGTTACTGCAGCCACTTACAAATACTGCCCATAGACTTTGGAGATTGATGTTTGACACTTCCGTTTTGGGAATTATTTCTTCCAATTCCAAGCAGTCGGTTATGTTTAGTGTTTCCAGTTGTCCAAGACTTTTAGCAACAGACGTTGGGAAGAGATATCTCAATTTATTGCAGTTGACTATTGTTACAACCTTCAAACTTTGTAAGCTTACATGATGACTGGGTCCTTCTTGTATGCTCCTCAATTCAGCAATCTGAAACAGCAATTGCATCTCATTACAAGATTTAACTTCCAACCTTTCAAGACTTTGTAGAATTGGAATTGCACATGTCATGTCCCTGCATTTATCTATCATCAAAGTTTTTAATTTTAGCAAAAACCCTTGCCGTTGATGACCACTGCACAGCTCTTCCAAACCACGCATCTTTGTTAAAGATAATTCTAACAAATTAGAGAATGCATTGGTTAGCACCTGCTGCTTTGTAGTATCAATGAGACATTTCATATGCTCGCAACTCTCAAGACTCAGAGAAGTCAGCTTACTGAATACCACTTGGCCCGACTCCAAGCTTGGAACGATATTTTGGCAGCCCACCACATTTTTCAGATTAAGAGATTCTGTATCCCCAAATAACTGCTTGCATGCCTCTATTACAGACCCCTCAATTTGTAAGGAGCTCGACAATGGGCTGATCTCAAAGTCCATCCTCCTTCCATAAAAATTAGAAAAGCCAAAGCCAACACGTACATAAAACCTTTGTAATTTATAGAACACAAAGTCTCTTGGCACATGTTCAGAGCAAACCTCTAAAGATAATATGATCAAGTTTGACAAGGAATTCAACTCTGATAGACTGGCAAAGCTTTCTTCTTTGACTGTGTTCTCAGTGGCCCATTTTAATAATTGACAACCATGCAAGTAGAGTTCTTCTAATTTGGACAATCTCCGTATTAACTGAGAAGGGATTCTCTGTAGTTTTACACAATATGCTAAATCCAACAATTTAAGATTATCCAAACCACCTATTTCCTCTGGCAATTCTTTGATATTAGAGCAACTAAATGAAAGAACCTCAAGTTTTTTCAACTTCCCTAGAACTAAGATGTCCAAAAGTTTGCAACCTTCCAAATGTAGAGTTCGAAGGTTCGGTTGAAACTGAAATGCATCTGGAGATACTAAACTACAATATTGCAAAACGCAAACTTTCATTGCTTTCATTCCTTCAAAGAATTCACTTGAAGTTATCATACTACCCCTTCCACCAAGTAAAAGAAATTGGAGATTTGGGCATACCAATCCTTTAGGAAGTTCAACCATCCGACTAGTGCTAATGGAGATTGCTACATAAGGCTCAAAACTTTCTTCCTCTGGCCTCATTTCAACAACCTCAGATTTTATCACAAAAGAAATCTCCTTTCTGTATGATGCTATCCACAAAGCAACATCACGAACCAGGTCATGCATTTTAACATGCCTTTCTCCACAATTTAACAACAAACAAGATTCCTTAAGGATGTCAATCGCTGCAAGCACTTCGCTCCTCACTTCTTCAATTGGTTCCACACCTTTATACAACTCTAGTCCCCATGCATATCTCACCAAGTCTTCTACATGAATCTCATAATCTTCAGGAAATAAGGAACACAACAAGAAACACATCTTGGTCTCCGTATCCTTCAGATAATCAAAACTTACTTCAAGACAAAGGTAAGCATTTTGTTGATAAATGTCTTCGATGTCACCCAATCTACGGTTTTTGAGTCTCCGATATGCTGCTTTCCACCTATGATGATTTTTTTCTTTCAGAGCACTTGCCAATGTAACTATAGCTATGGGCAAACCTTTACATTTTTTGATAATTTTAGTTGCCACGTTTTTAATAGCATCATCAGAAGAGTCGTTTAGACCTGCTTTGGTGGCAAATAAAATCCCAGCTTCATGATCATCCAGAAAACCTAGTTGTATTCTCCTTTGACATTGCATGGCAACACATACTTGTAGGCGGCGTGTTGTTAAAAGAATTTTGCAGCCTTTGTGATCCTCACCAATTGGAATTCCCATCACCTCCTTTAAGTCAATTTCTGCCCAAACATCATCAAGGATTATTAGAATCTTTTTCTCCTTCTGCTGTTTCAACCATAATTCTTGTACTGATCTTCTTCCTCGCTCATTCTTCATATCGAAATCTAAGTATTTTGCAATTTCATCTTGAATTGTTTCAAAGTTTGGCTTTTGAGATACAGTAGTAATCACAACTTTGTCAAACAGATTTAGTTTTTGGGCATGAGTTCCAACTTCACGCACTAGGGTTGTCTTGCCCACCCCTCCCATCCCCCACAATCCAATCATGCTAACATTGTCATCCTGTAGGGCCTCAATGATCTGATTGAAAGCAATATTTGAAGATTTAGAAACCATAAAACCCTTAGATGAAAGGAATTCTATGGTTGGAATTGTACTAGGAGAACAGTAGCCCACCCGTTCAGGTTGACCAAATTTGGTTAATCTTCTCTAGAAGCTCACAAATAACAAGAGTGTTCTTTGTTGCTTTCTTGCTTAATCTATACCGCCAACTCCAATTAGGACACCAATTGAAACATCTCTTGTTTTGCTGCAATTCATTTTGTAGAGTTTCCATATCTGATAGGATTTTGTCCGCCTTTGATAGCGAGTCTCTGACATCATCTTCAATTCCTTGAAGTCGCCTTTCGGCATCCTCAATCTCATGTTGCAGCCGACCCCGTGCCATTATTAGTTCTTCTTTTCTTTCTTTGAGCTTTTCAACATTGTCATGAAAACGGCGAGTGTAATTAAGTTGATCTCCTACTGGCTTCGCCACCCAATCCACGAGCAATGTTCCCATGCAGTTAGAAATAGCAGACTCACAAAACCCACAAGCCATTCTTGACAAGCTCAACTTGAAGAAACTTCTGCCAAGGATAAAAATATTGGCTATGAGATAAATCATGGTGATGACACTATAAAGAAAATTAAAGAACAACAAAGGCAAACTCTCAAAACATACCAAGCAAGGTGAAGATAGTCCAAAGTGTAACAACCAACTACTTTTTCTTCACTTTTCAACCAAGTAACACTTTTTAAGTACGTAACAAGGTAAGGTGAAGACAATTCAAAGTATGAGAACCAAATGCCTTTCTTCAGCACTCCACTAAGCTGAAAAAATGAGATAAAAAACAATATTTTTAATAATTTATAAGAAAATATTACTCAGAAATATGAAATAAAAAAAATTAGTGTTGATATGATAAAAAACCCAAAAAATAGATCATACTACAACAAATTAAGCGACAATTTTAAAAATGATTAATTACAGGTTTGGTCAACCAATTTTAGTTGATTTTTTATTTTGGACACTGAACTATGAAAAATAATGATTTAGTCACCAACATTACAAATATTTGTTTCTTTGATCATCCAACCATTTAGGGTTAAATGTTGGATGCCGCTATTGCAAGAACATATCATCTACAATTATATTACCTATAATAATTGTAATATACAATTATCACAATACATAATTTTATATTATGTGAGGCACATCAAAATTTTATATAAATAACGCACTAACATAATTGGTGAACTTTACCTATATAATTTTATTATTGAGAGCATATCAATTACAATTATTGTAAAATAATTAATCAATTAAAATTCAATATTTTTGTAAGGTTCACAAAAGATATGTAAAACCGACACTTACACACTTATGATGAAACTTTATATAATTTTTTTTTATAATTGACTAAATGTAAAATTGTAATAAAAGAAATTTTAGATGATATGATTCTTTTTTATTGCGATTGAATAATTATAACATTAAAATAAAAAGAATAATAGGGTCACTGTCACGATTAGACTGAGATTCCCACAGGGCTTAAGCTCAATTGCCACATGGTTATTCCTACATGAAATTATTTTAAAAAAAAAAAGGTCCTTTTCCAAAAAAATCAATTTTTTTCATTTTCCAACCTCTCTAGACTACCCTACCTCATTTAATAGCACCGCCATCGTTTTTCAAACTCCGAAGTCGGACCATCCTCTGCCACCGTATGCCTCTCGCCGGCACCGTTTTTGTTCCTCAAACTCACCCAAGTCTTCTCCTTGATCCTCCCTTTCCTTATATCAGATCAAATTTTCCTAAAAACTCCTAAAAAGTCCTAAATTTAAAACCAAATCCAAGAGCTTAAAACTAGATACGCCACTCTCAACAACTTATCACCACCAGTGGAATCGTTTCCTCTCTTCTCTCCTCTCCTCTGGCTCTACCCCTTCACAACTAGAGAAGCTCCAATAACCCAAGATCAAAAGACCCTAGAACCCAAAACGGCTACCTGCATCCGCCTTTCTACTCCACTACAACCAATTTTTTTGTTGTTTTTTTAATATTGACAAAAAAGTTAAATGAATTTCCAACCTTACCGCTTCCAGACAGAAGTAATAGATCCGAAGCTTTCAAGAGAAAATTTGCTTGAAAAATAAATCCAATCTTTTTCAGATCTGATCTGCTTCACTGGAAAAATTGCAAAGTAGATAAAAAAAAATGTAAGAAACAAACTTTATTTGTACAAAGAGAAAGCAATGGAGAAGTTGTTGCATTTAACTCACTTGGTGCCTTCTAAATCTGCGAGGATTCATTCATGACGGATCGTTGAAAATAAAGAAAACAAGTTTGAAGATTGGATTTTTTTTCTCTCCTTTTTTTTTTTTGTATTTTTGAGATGAAAATGACAAACAAATTAGAAATTAAAGAGAAAGAAGATATTGAAGAGTAGCTCTTTTTTTTTTTTTTAAGTTACAAGGAAAGAAATGTAGAATCAAAGAAAATTCAACCGAAGTTTTTTTTTTTTTTCTCTTTTTGAGTTGAAGGAAAAGCCAACAGAGCAGAAATCAACCTTAGAACTCTTGGCCAAAAAAAAAAGAAATCAAGCTCGCATTGAAATGATCAAAAAGCGTGGGAATTGAAAAGAGAACGTTCACTTATCTGCCTGCAAAATTCTAATAAAAGAGATTAACAGAACACTCAGCTTCTGATAGCAGAAATGGGTTTCTGCCTTTTTTTTTTTTTTTGGAGGTTTTATGGGCAAAGGATTTGTTTCCAGATTAGTACGTAAAATGTAGAGAAGGAAGACTTATTTTTATGCAAGTCTTCTTCCTTTTTCTTTTAATATTGTTGTTTCCTTATTAAATTCCATAGTGGCCGGTAAAAGCCATGACCCATGACTTCTTTTCTTCTCGGGGTCTTCTATTTTTATTCTTCTTCTTTTATCTACGTAATGGATGAAAGCCTGCCCAATTTTATTTTTATAATCGTAGTGATCTTAATTCAAAACTATACTATATGAACATTTAGTTAATATATCTGTATAATTATTTTATAAAACATGTACATCTAAAAAATAAAATAAGTGCATTTTTTATATTAAAATTATAAAAATAAATTTAATTTTTTATTAATTTAAATATAAATGTTTCTTTCCAATTATTTATTTTTATTATAATGTCAAATAATAAATTTTTTATTAAAACATGATTTATAGTTCCTCCCTGTTTATGAAGTTATTGCTTTATCTTCTTTATTTCCGATTAATAGAATTCATAACCAATCCAAAGGAATTTTTCATTGCTTCTGCTCGTGTGCACTAATTTGTAATTAAATTAATTATCATGATTCATCATATAAAAAAATTAAATTAATATCAAAAAAGAAAATTAAATTATTAATGCACTTCAGGCATATAATTGAGACATATTAAAAAGACATAAGTTACAACCAGCCCAAAAATATAATGAAGGCATAATCATAATTTTCATAGACTTGAAAATTTTATAATTAAGCCATTATGAAACAAGCACACAATAATAATACCAATAAATTAGGGAAGCTTTAATCTAAGGCGAGCTTGGCTATTCATTAGGCCTTTTTATGAAGGCTATGTGGGCAAATTTCAATACTTTGTCCACGATGGTTATCATTGTATGATTACATTTCGTGATACTTAATTAATGTTTTTATGTGTAAAAACTATACTTTATCCATCATCTTTGCCTCAATTAACTTTAATAATAAATTGTTAAAAAAGAAATAAAGTATGATATCTAACAACAGTCATGACAAACAATAATTAAAGATGGAGCTTCCGTATCTAATGGTCAACAAATTACTTGAAACAATACTAACCTAAAAATATCCATGACAGATTTCTAATCTGTTAATTATTTTTTACATTAATTACAGGTTTACTTGTTGCAAATGACTATATCATGGTAATGTAGTTACTTATGAAAATCAAATTTTTATAATTAATTATAGTATTTGAATTAAAATTTCATTGTAAACATTTATGTATTATTAATCTTATAATTATTTTCTTTTAATATACTATGTGTTTTTTATTATTAATATCCATCATTGCAAAAGGAAAAAAAAAAGCAAATAATAAAAGGTAAGTAATGAATTTAACAAGTATTCAATTCTTACAAGGAGCTATAGGAGTAAAACGCTTTACTTAATTACTTTAGAATAAACCATTGACAAGTTATAGATTTCCTAAACCTAGTAGATTTATAGTGAGGCGATGACCTTTGGATTGGATTAAGAGTAATCAAAAGGTCATTGAATAATCCGATTCTAATAGTCAGCTTTAAAATTGATTACTCCATTTTCATGCTTTTTTCATTATACATATACTTCAAATTTAGGATGTAAATGATAGATTAGTGTTTGTAAGAGTTTTGAGTTTGATTCGAATAAAATTTAAATTTAATTTGATTATTATCAATTCAAGTTTGAATAATTTAATGAGTTTAAATATCTTAATTCTTGATTTGAATAATTAACTAGCTTAATTTAGTTTTTTTATTATTTTTATTATTTATTAATTTAATTAAAATTATTATTTTATTTATATATATTAATTTAAACTTGAATTTAAATATATAATGGAATTCAAGATTGAACATGAAAATTAAACTTATTTTTTATTAAAATTAATCAAAAAATTTGAATATTTTAATTTTTATATTGAATCAAATTTAGATTTAAAAATTAAATTTTGATCAAATTTCAAATCAAAGATCAAATTTCTCTCTTTGAGTAGAAGGAAAAACATAATAAAAATAAACCTTAGAACTCTTGAAAAAATAAAATCAAGCTCGCACTGAAATGATCAAAGAAGCTTGGAAATTGGTAAGAGAATCTTCACTTATGTGATTGAAAAATTAGAACAAAAGAGATTGACAGAACACTCAGCGTCCGTTAGCAGAAATGGGATTTTTTTTTTTTTTTGAGGTTTTACGGGCAAAGGATTTGTTTTAAGATTATCATGTAAAATGTAAAGAAAGGAAGACTTACTTTTATCTAGGTCTTCTTCTTTTTCTTTTAACATTCCTTATTAAATTCCATAGTGGCCGACAAAAGCCATGTGACTCACAAAAGCCATGATCCATCACTTCTTTTCTTCTCGGTGTCTTATTTTTTTATTCCGTCTCTTTTATCTAAGTAATGGAAGACAGCCCAATTCTGTCGTTTACGGGTGGGAAATTTTCAAAAAGTAACAAAAATATTTATTAATTGGTACCATATTAAAAATAATTAGTAAAAAAATTATAATTAATAAAATAAAAAATAAAAATTATTTTTATAATCGTAATGTTCAATAATCTTAATTCAAAATTATAATATATGTACATTTAGTTAATATATATGTTAATTATTTTATAAAATATGTACTTACAAAAAATAAAATAAAATAAGTACATTTTAGGATATTAAGAATTATAAAAATAAATTTTTATTAATTTAAATATAAATATTTCTTTCCAATTAATTATTTTTTATTATAATATCAAATAATAAATATTTTTTTTATTAAAACACCTTTTATAGTGCCTCCTTGTTTATGAAACTATTGCTTCGTCCTCTCCTAATTCACTATAAGAAACAATTAAAAAGGGAAAAGAGCTCGGCCTGAAAATATTTACCCGTGTTCACTAATTAATAATTAAATTACTTATCATGATTCATCACATAAAAATGAAAATTAATTTAATACCAAAAAAGGAAATTAAATTACTAATGCACTTTGGGTGAAAATTTTAGATATGTCAAAAAAAACAAACGATACAAATAGCTCAAAAGTACAACGAAGTTATAATCATAATTTTCACACATTTAAACATTTCAGAACTAAGTTATTATGAAACAAACACACAATAATAATACCAATGAGAGGGAGAAGCTTTAATCCAAGGCAAGCTTGGCTATTCATTACGCCTTTTATGAAGGCTACGTGGACAGATTTCATGATTTTATCCATAAAGGTTACATTGTATGATTAAATTTCATGATACTTGATTAATGTTTTTTAAGTAGAAAAAAGGACTTTACCCATCATCTTTGCCTCAATTAACTTCAATAATAAAGTGTGAAAGAAAGAATTCAACACAGTCAAGAAAAACAATAGTTAAGGACAGAGTTTTCATGTCTAATAGTCAACAAATTAATTGGAACAATATTAACTTAAAGTTATCCATGAGAGATTTCTAATCTGTTGATTATTTTCTATATTAATTGCAAATTTACTTGTTGCAAATGATTATACCATGGCAATATAGCTACTCATGGATATCACATTTTTATAATTAATTATAGTATTTGAATTAAAATTTCATTGTAAACATTTATGTATTATATATCTTATATATTATTTATCTTTTTAATATAATATTTTTTTTATCTATATCCATCATTGGGGAAGAAAAAAAAAAAAATAAAAGGTAAGTAATGAATTTAACAAGTATCCAATTTTTACAAGGAGGTATAGGGGTAAACCATTTTACTTAATTATTTGAAGAACAAAGCATTGACAAGTTATACATGTACCAAGTAATCAAAGGTTATAGAATAATCTGATTCTAATGGTCAGCTTTAAAATTTACTACTTTGTTTTCATGTGTTTCTTATTATAGATACTCATCAAATTTAGAGATATAAATGATAGATCAATGTTTGTAAGATTTTTTTTTAATTCAATTCAAATAAAATTTAAATTTAGCTTAATTATTATTGATTTAAGTTCAAGCAATTTGATAAATTTGAGTATCTTAATATCAACTTGAATAATAAATTTAATCAAGTTTTTATATTTTAGTAGTTTTTATTGTTTAATTAAAATTTCTTATTTTATCTTTATATGTATCAATTTGAACTCGAATTCGAATATATAATCAAGTTTAAAAATTGAAATATGAAGATCAAATTTATTTTTTATTAAATAAACATAATCGAAAGAATTTAAATATCTAAATTTTTATTTCGAATTGAACTCAAACTTAAAGATTAAAATTTAATTAAATTTGAATTAAATTTTGAATTGAACTCAAAGTTGAACTTCTCTTTTTGAGTTAAAGGAAAAACAGAGTAGAAATCAAAGTTAGAACTTTCTGCCAAAAAACAAAAAGAAATCAAGCTCGCACTGAAATGATTGGAAATTGAAAAGAGAACGTTCACGTATCTGCATGGAACATTTGAACAAAAGGGATTAATAAGACACTTAACTTCTGATAGCAGCAATGGGTTTTTGCCCCTTTTTTTTTTCCCTTTAAGGTTTTATGCCAAAGGATTAGTTTTATGATTATTATGTAAAATGTAAGAAAAGAAGACATCTAAGTCTTCTTCTTTTTCATTTAATATAGTTATTTCCTTAATAAATTCCATAGTGGCCGACAAAAG